TGTGTGTGTGTGTGTGTGTGTGTGTGTGTGTGTGTGTGTGTGTGTGTGTGTGTGTGTGTGTGTGTGTGTGCAGTACTCTCTTCTGTCCATGGTTTAAAAAATATCCAGCTTTTAATCCTAATTTGGATTTGGCTGGTTTGGTGATGCTGACTGACTCAAACTGCTCCTCAGCTGGTTGGCTGGTAGGCCGAGCTGTGCGGCAGCAGGAGTGTTTGCTGCACCTGGAGAGAACTGAGTGATTTCATGACAGATTTAATACTAGAGCTGCAATAAGGGGAAAATGGACGAGGCAGGGGGGAAGTAATGGACACATTAGGTTTGTTCTATTGGTGTAAATGTTCGCCTTAATAACGCAATGCTTTGCATCACCTGAATGAGTACTGCTGTTAGGAATGGACATGGTCGGCACCAACGCTCAAGCAGGCTGTGGAGTTTGATGCTCAGCTGTTCTATCCCCAACACCATCACACCACCTTCAGCAGCCAGAGCCATCGATGAATTCAGACCCTACCATCAAAATGTTCCAATCGAGACTCGTCAGACCAGACAACATTTTTCTGATCTTCTGTTGTCCAGGTTTAGTGAGGCCTGTGCGAACTGTCACGTCGGTTTCCTGTTCTTAGCTAGGAGTGGCTTCCTGTGCGGTGTTCTTCTGCTGTAGCCCATCTGATTCAAGGTTTGATGTGTAGTGCTTTCCCAGACGCTCTTCTGCATACGTTGGTTGTAACGAGTGTTTATTTGAGTTATTATTGCCTTCTTGTCAATATGAAACAGTTTGGCCCAGAGTACTGGTTAGACATGGTTGTGTGGAAAAATCCCAGCTGATCAGCAGTTTCTGAAATACTCAGACTAACCTGTCTGAAACCAACAACCATGCCACGTTAAAGCTACTTAAATCACGTTTTTTCCTCATTTGTGGCTCAATTTTAACTTCACCCGGTCGTCTTGACTGCTGACGTGCTGAAATTCACTGAGCTGCAGTATGATTGGCTGATTAGATAGAGCAGTTGAACATGTTTAAATAATGAATTGACCTGCAGTGTCACATCTTTGAATCTGCTGTTCTTATCATCCCTAAATGATGATTCAGATAGAAAAGCAAAGCTTGAGCTACTTCGCAGCCTTCCTATCTCTCTTCCTCAGTCGTACTTTGGCGACAGATGCACACAGATTATTTATTTCTATAACGCTGAACGTGGTGGAGTCACTCTCTACCTGTGGTGCATCACTCAGGTTTCCCTTCAGAGCTGTCTTCAGTCTGCACGCTCATCTTAATGTGGTTTTGTTCTTTACCGCCGTGCAGACGTGAAAATGGAAAATCACGACTGACAGGCTGCAGGTGGCTTTCTTTGCTGTGTCCAGTTTCCCAAACCACACTTGTTCTGATTTCAAATGTTTAAATTACTCCATTTGTGGAAAAACTTACTCTTTTTTCCCCCATATTGCTTAATAACTTGTTTCATTTACTCAGAAGGCAAATCGTCACATTACCGGAGCCCTTCTGGGGGTTTAAATTGATCTTGTTGCTTCAATAGTGACTCAACCTGAGACTGCGGTTTTTGTTCCTTCGCGTGTTTAGGCTCCAGACTGCAGTGTGGTGGGTGTCGGGGAGAAGATTCTGCTGTTCAGACATCAAGCCGCCTCCGAGCAGTTGCTGCAGCGGCTGACCGACTCTGACGAGCTGCAGGATGGCGACCTCATTGAGGTCATCGTTTCAGGTTAGTGTTTGAGGTTTACAGAGGCAGGTGGACACTTGGTGAGATTTGGTGGTACTACGTGTACCTCATTTGTTTGGGTGACATATAGTTTATTCATGCATGTAAAATGCTGTTTCTGTCCAGGGGTTTGGAGAGAAGCTCTTGAATGGTAAATGGCCTGTATTTGTATAGCGCTTAGTCCCTAAGGACCCCAAAGCGCTTTACACTACATTCAGTCATCCACCCATTCACACACTGGTGACGGCAAGCTACATTGTAGCCACAGCCACTCTGCGGTGCACTGACAGAGGCAAGGCTGCCGAACACTGGCGCCACCGGGCCCTCTGACCACCACCAGTAGGTGGTTTTAAATGGTCAGTTTTAAATGAGTCCAACTCTCCTACTGTTCCAAACCTATTTTCATGGGGGGCAGTGGGCGGGCGGACGAAGTTAAAACTGCTTGTTTCAGACGAGTCGAGCGCCTGCACCAAGGACCAGTATAAGACAAATGAGGATTATTTTGAGCTGTGAATCATGCAAAGCTACTATAGCGGAGTCTTAGCAGTAAATGCATGGAGCGTGGATGTCTGTTGGTGTAACGAGTCCTCTCTGTGATTCAGGATCAGCCTCCGTGACGCAGGTGACGATGCGTCCACACTCCTTGGCGGTGCAGTCGTACCGGACCCCCACTTTCTGTCACCACTGTGGAGAGATGCTGTGGGGCCTCGTTCGGCAGGGTTTAAAATGTGACGGTAAAGGCGCTTTCACACTTCATCATGTGGTGGTATCGTCTCTTCACTGATACTTGAGTGTTGTTAAAGTTTTTGGTTTTTACTTTTATCTCTTTACAGGTTGTGGATTAGACTTTCATAAACGCTGTGCTTTGCAGTTGCCCAGTAACTGTAGCCGAGCACGGCGTCAGGTTAGCACCAGCTTTTCCCTGTTTCCACCCCGGCGACCTCGCACACACTCGCTGTCCAATCAGGCAGGCGGGAGTCTAGAAGAGGTGAGGAACTGCTGTGATTGTAATGCAGATAACTGTTTTTGCAACCCCGGATTTGCTTGTTTCTCCAACACAGCTGTAACCTTTACTGGTATAATCGAATCACATATTCACACAATAGATTTCTTTCAGTTATTCTAAGTTGATATCTTTCACTTTGCATCTTTCTCCAGATCAGCAAGTCCAAGCCCGCGTCCAGGCCTCCATCCTGGGCCGAGGCTCCGGTGTGGCTGGGAGTCGGGTACAGCGACTGGAGCAGGGCTCAGGTCCCTCACACCTTCCACATCCACAGCTACACCAAACCCACCGTCTGCCAGTACTGCCACCGGCTGCTCAAAGGCCTCTTCAGGCAGGGGCTGCAGTGCTCAGGTGAGAAGGAGGAGAAAAACTAAGCACATCCCATGTTTCAGTAACTTGTTCAACCTCCTTTAGCAGCAATAACTTGAATTATTCATGTCGTGTGTGACTTTATCAGTTTCTCACATTTTTATGGGAGAAATTGCGTCTGACCTTTTTTTGCAGCCTTGTTTCAGTTCACTGAGGTTTGCAGGGATTCATTTATGCACAGATCTGTAGATTTGCTGCTGTGCTTGTGATCATTGTCCTGTTACATGATTCAACTTTGTCTAAGCTTTATCTGTCAGACAGACGGCATCATATTTGCCTCTAGAATACTTCGGTATACTCTGGCGTTATTGGTCAACTCAGTGACTGCGACGTGTTTGGTTTCCTCTCAACGTGGTTTTGTGCATCTCGTCAGTGCAAAGGACATTGTTCCAGAGGTCTGGTGGTTTGTTCAGATGGAACTTTCCAAACATCATCTGTGCTCCAATGTTCTAATTAGAGAGAAGAGGCTTTGTCTCCAAACAAGCCATACTCCGTCAGTCTTTTTCTAATTGTACTGTGAGCCAGCTGTATCAGAAAGTAGATCGCATGCATCTACTGCAGTGAGACTCTCTTGCTGTGACGCCATGACAGGATGTAAATATTAATGGTTTACACCTCAGCTGAGCTCTTATTTTAGCCAGCTGCATGTTTCGTTTGGTAGAAGGAAATTAGCACAAGACAGCACAAGCGTTAAGAGAAGGTTGACGTCACTGAAAAAACCCATAGCAAACCCAGTCTACGTCAGGGTTGGTAAACTTAGTCCATTTAGTCAATGGGAAATGAGAATCACATCAGATTTCCTGTAAAATGTATTTCCCGCACAATTTGGCTCACAGGAAGTTCTCTACAAGTGCACAGAAAGTTTATTAGTGTCTGCAAAGTTTAGTCCTGCATAATTTACACTTGTACAAGTGAGCTGCCACACAGCTGTCTCACCACAACCTGTTTAACAGCACGAGGCGTTTAACAAAAGCAAAACTGACTCTTGGATTTAAATGTAATACCTGTTTCTATTATTATAGCTGTTTGACAGGTCTGAAAAACAGGTTTGTGTAATATCGCTTAAATTCGAAACATCCTGTCTCAGAGTGAGGCTGAAAAACGAGTTCATACATTTATTACTTCCAGGCTTAAAACTTTTTGCTAAAGCATATAGTTAGAGCTGGATCACGTGACCTTGAATCTTCCCTTAGTTATGCTGCAGTAGGTGTTAGCTGCTGGGGGAGTCCCATAATGCACTTCACTCACTGTGTGTTTACACACCTCTCTGCATTTGATCATAAGTTATTATTAATCTCTGGCTCTCTTCCTCAGCGTCTTTGTCTGTCTCCCTTACCTCACGCCCAGTTAGTTGCGGCACATGGCCGCCCCTCCCCGAGCCTGGTTCTGCTGGAGGTTTCTTCCTGTTAAACAGGAGTTTTTCCTTCCCACTGTCACCAAGTACTTACCTTGAGGAGGTTGTCTGATCGTTGGGACTTTCTCTCTGTTATTGTGGGTCTTTACCTTACAATACAGAGCATCTTGAGTTGTTGTGATTTGGTGCTTATAAATAAAACTGAACTGAACGTGGCAACTCTGTAGTTTTGTAGGATACTTAATTTAAGAGGAGAAAATCTTTGATCTTGCAGTTTGCCTGTACCCTCCTACCAGGCTTCTGCTGCCAAACTGGCTGCACATGAGTGCAAAACTTTACAGCTGCGTCACCTCGAAGTCTGGCTCAAAGGAACATCCTGTGCTGTGGGTTATTTGTTCTTTTGTTAATTTTCAGTTTGCCTCTGCATCTTAGCAGAGGTCCCAATGTGGCCCGCTGGCCTGGATCTCCACACATGTGGTCTAAAGGTATAGATAGAACAACAGGTCAGGAGGATGTGTACCTTTGAATCTTATTGTCACCCACTCCTGTGAAAGAGTGGGTGACAGGCCTCCTTCTTTACAAACCTGATAATGTTATGCGTTCAGATCTTGTGGCCATTTTTGGTGCTCTGTTCCTGCAAAGCTTTGACTTTGATTAGTAATGCTTGACTTGGAGGCTCACGAGCACACAGCAAACGCTTGTTTTGTCAAGGAGCGTGTGTATCCCACGTACTTACGTAAGCAGATTGGGTTGAATCTAATTTTACCTAAATGCCTGGATGTGTCTCAGACGTCTCGAATCTCAGACGACATTCATTTTCATCACGAAAAAAGCTGACCGCAATATTCTGACTCATGAGTTTGTATCTTTCCAGACTCCAGCACTCTTCCTTTTTCTGTCAGCCTTTTAAAACCTCCCACGTCTCCTCCATGGTTTTTCCAGACTGCAGGTTTAACTGCCATCGGCGCTGTGAGCCTTTAGTCCCCAGAGACTGTCCTGGAGAGAGGAACGGCATGAACGGGGAAGGTGAGTGACGGTCCCTGGAGGTCTGAGGTCTGGTTTTCATTTCATATTCTGGGCTTGTGGCTGTGTTAGACCATGGCTCTTTGAAAAGGGGCCTGACTCTGATGCTGTCAGCATGAGTCGAAGCTGATTCACCCTGTTTCCCAGGAACATTTGATAGATTCAGGCCTCACTCTAAATTAGCATCTCAGAAACGTCACATTCCTCCGAGTAGCGGTGATGATTAGCTGCATGATGAGTCAGGTAAACTGAGCCTGTTGAGAAATGAGATGAAATGATTTCACCAGAGAATATGTAAAAAAGAGAAAACAAAGACAGGTAACTGATCAGCAGTATTTCAGATGCATTTTAAGTCATTTATTGAGAAAAATCAGACATTTTCTTTTGTTCGGTTCATCTTGAACTTATTTGTTTGCTATTTTTACCTCATTATTTGTTGGTATTTTATGGCCCTAATTGTGTAAATAATATAAATAGAATTAAATGTAGCTGTTCATTAGTTGCTGATGTCACATTTCCAGAGAGCCCAGCAGCTGATAACAGCTGCCAACCAGACTTGGAAGACAATGAGTCAGTGATCACCAGCACCACAGAGATCTGCGACGATGACATGTTCACCGATGATGACTCACAGGCAGAGACCGGGGAAGTCGAGCAGCTGCGAGAGCCGATGAGGTCAGAGGGGCACTAAGTTTTTCTGATGATCTAATCCCAGCTAAAAGCTGTCTGCTGGTGCAGACAGCGTCCGAACGATGTCACGCGTCTGAATCACACGTCGCCCAAATTCACGTATTATAAAACAGACGTTTATCGTCCCTGTCGTTTATATCTGGGTTTTCTCGGCTTTGTTTGTGGCACACGCTGCCACCTAGAGGCGACTTCTGTTTAATTCACCATCTCCAAACGGACCTTTATTTTGTCCTCCCTCTCTTTTTCCGCCCGCCAGTCCTTGTTTCAGCAGCAACATCCCCCTGATGAGGCTCGTCCAGTCGGTGCATCACACTAAGAGGAGAGGCGGAGGAGTCCTGAGAGAGGGGTGGCTGGTCCACCACACCAACACAGACACATTGGTGAGGAACACACTCTTTCAGATCTGGAAACGTTCAAAAAAGCAAAATGTTTTGCTCAGGTTATGATATTTGTGAAGCAGAATCACATTTTCATCGGCTTTTAACTCGGTCGTGCCTTCACTCAGAGGAAACGCCATTACTGGATCTTGGACTGGAAGAGCATGACTCTGTACCAGAATGAAAACACCACGAAGTTCTACAAGGTATGAGAGTTGCATGATATAAGACGGAAACAGACAAAGCAGCATCCTGTGTGCTGCACGCTCACTCCCACTCGTATCAAAGGCCTCTGTCATTAACATGTATGCAGAAATGTTCCTGCAGTGTGCCAGTGTTGTTCCTCCCACTGTGTCACTGTGTAAACAGTGCAAACATCCACCGAGGCAGCTCGCGCTCTGAGCAGTGTTTACTTTAAAGAGGACAGTATTGTATTTTGTGTATGTTCATTTCTCCTTCGTTTTAAACGTACTTTAAGAAGTTTGTAGTGCAGTGAAAATCAGATAATGATAGCATGACAGATGTTACTTTGATTATAGAAACATTATGTAGGAGAAGGCCATGGATAATAGCTTTAAACCTCCTCTGCAGGAGATCTCTCTGTCCGAGGTGCTCGGGGTCCGAGGCCCCACCCAGCTCTCCGTGCCACCATCAGACGGCAGCGCTCACTCGTTCGAGCTGGTGACGGTGTCGCTGGTGTACTGCGTGATAGCCGGCGAGGAGGGGGCAGCCTGGGAGAGCGCCATCCGGCAGGCTATGATGCCGGTGGAGAGCAGCAGAGGACACAAAGATGAGATCCAGGGTGAGTCAGAAAACATCAGATATTAATATCAGATCTTACTCTGAATATGGTAGCGGTGATGGATATGGACCCGCAACATTCAGTTAACAAGACTTCCTGTCTCTGATTACAGATCAATACCGATACAGACGCAGTGCGGTAAGATTTGAGCGAGTTTATCGTGCACACGTTAGAGGAGTGTTACAGAGTGTTGAAGTGTGTTTGTGTGTGTTTCAGGACATCAGCTCGGTGTATCAGATCTGTACAGACGAGGTGCTGGGGTCGGGACAGTTTGGCGTGGTGTACGGAGGTCAGCTGATTCTCATTATGTTGTTATGTGCAGAGAACTGAACACGAGGAGTACAAGAAAATCCTGTTTTCTATGACTGTGACTGTCTTTATGCAGTGATCTGAAAATACACAGTACAGAAGAAACAGTTTCAAAAGACACCAAAGAAATCAGAGACTTCAGAGGCTGAAATGTTGCTCAAAACAAACTTTTTCATCAAATGTCTTTCTGTTTTTGCTAAGCTACAAATGCTCCTTTGCTTCATTATCACGTCTCTTTTCTTTTTCTTCTTCAGGAACTCACAGGAAGTCGGGTCGAACAGTTGCCATCAAGGTCATCGACAAGACGCGTTTCCCCACCAAACAGGAGACGCAGCTGAGAAACGAAGTGGCCATCTTGCAGGTTTTAATGCGGTTTTTAAACACTTTACAAGAAATAACACAAAAAATGTAACAAGTTACTGAAAACACGTGAGGAACAAACCAGGAACAACCTGATGGTTAACCTTTAAAACGATGATCTGTGACATAATTGTCAGAAAATTCACATTTTTTTAAAACTTTTTGCCAATTTATTTAGAATGAATTAAATATTAATTTGCATATATGAGTTTTAATTGGTATCATATTGGCCACATTTGGCATTTTATTAAATTTTTTCAAAATGTATTGCTTAAAAATGTGTTGTGCTCTTTATTTTGGTTTTTGAGGGGAAAATAAAATCACACTGATGATGTAAATGCCTCAAAACCTCATGCATCAAAAACGATATATTAGGCATTAAGGGGTTAAAGAGCCATTCATCATTGCTTTAATAACTCCTGATCCATTACATCACTGTAGAAGAACTAGCTTGGATATATTAGTGACAGTTACTTAATCTGGTTTAAATCCTGATGGATTAACTACAGAAGAGGATTAGGGCCACTGGGAAAAAAAAAATCTGAGATTCTGAGTTTTTTCTCAAAATTCTGACTTTTTCATCCAAATTATTTTTTTTCAGAATTCTGAGAAAAAAGTTAGAATTCTGACTTTAATCTCAGATTTTTTGATCTGCTGGGATTTTCCCGCACAACCATCACTAGTTTACAGGGAATGGCCTGAAAATGAGACAAATATCCAGCGTCTTCTGGTAAAAACAGGCTCCTGATGTCAGAGGAGAGTGGGCAGACTGCTTTGAGCTGAAAGGAAAGCAACAGTAACTCAAAGAGCCACTCGCCAGGTGCACTCCTGTCAGCTAAGAACAGGCCTGAGGCTAAATCTGCAGTAACCTTGTGATGCTCTCATGACAGTGTGGACCAAAATCTTGCTGTGAAGGAAAAAGGAGGTCCAACCTGCCTAATAAAGTGTCTGGTGAATGTTTATTGATGAACAGATGGTTGTGGACATGATTAGTAAATAATCATCAGTTATTAGTGAGTTATTAGCACAAGTACAAATAACTGTCACATTGTTCCCGATTCCTTCCTCACTGCTTCCTCATTAACTCAACACATATGATTGAAGTGTTGCAGATTTTCGGTTGATTTTTAGTGTTATAGTCACGATCAGGTGATTTACGTGACATCTGACGTGCGTGTTTTCCAGAATCTGTCGCACCCCGGCGTGGTTCTGTTGGAGGGCATGTTCGAAACTGTCGAGCACGTGTTTGTTGTAATGGAGAAGCTGCACGGAGACATGCTGGAGATGATTCTGTCCAGCGAGAAAGGTCGACTCCCTGAACGCATCACTCGCTTCCTCGTCATGCAGGTACGAGATCCCGATCTGAGAAACACTCCAGGGGTGTCTAGAGGATGTCCTTGTTTTTTTTCTTCTTGTTTTAACAAAGATGCAGGGACCTTTAATGTTTCTGTTTATCCCAAAATGAAATGTGAAATTCTCAAACGTGTGCTTCAGATTCTGGAGGCTCTGCGGTACCTGCACTTGAAGCACATCGCTCACTGTGACCTGAAACCTGAGAACGTACTGCTGGCCACTTCAGACCCCTTACCTCTGGTGGGATTTTGCACTTTAGTTCCCGATACAGCACACGGCATCTTATTTAATCAGCTCTGCCTCTGTGCCGCAGGTGAAGCTGTGCGACTTCGGCTTCGCCCGGATCATAGGGGAGAAGTCTTTCCGGCGCTCCGTCGTGGGGACTCCGGCCTACCTGGCACCCGAGGTGATCAGCAGCAATGGCTACAACCGCTCTCTGGACATGTGGTCTGTCGGCGTCATCATGTACGTCAGCCTGAGCGGCACGTTTCCCTTTAATGAAGATGAGGACATCCGGCAGCAGATCACCAACGCCACCTTCATGTACCCGCGCCAAACCTGGGCCCCCATCTCACTGGAGGGTATGAACGGTGTTTTTCTTTAGTTTTAAAACTTCTTTGTGAGCTGGGTTTACAGTTTCTCAACATAGTGATGATGAGAGTTTATTATGCTTTCCCTGTTAAAGGTTTCACACACTACAAACTCCAGGTCGGAAAGTTGCCATGTCAGCCCACAGTTTTGCGTCGTTTTAAACATTTAAATACATTTTCTTTAGTTTGATCCATGTCTGCCCACACATACAGTTTATAGTGTCATGCTTGAGTCCTGTTATTCTCCTGTTTCTCCACTGGGTGGCTCCAGTGAGCAAATCCTCTTTTTGAAAATTCTTCTCCGTCTCATTTCCTCCCCAGCTGTGAGCCTCATCAATAACCTGCTGCAGGTGTCGGTGAGACGGCGGTTCACCGTGGGCAAAGCGCTGGGACACAGCTGGCTGCAGGTCGGACACTTTACAAACGCTATCATTGAGAATCGTTTAATTTTGTAGTGTGAAACAACAGAATTAACTCGATCTAGTGTTACTGCGTTCATAGGTGTTGACCAGGATGCTCAGATGCTCCTGATCAGGTTTCTAATAGTCCTGATGTATAGATGTGTATGAGTCATGCACGCTCTCCTCTCGCTACTGCAGAACTTCCAGCTGTGGTGCGACCTCCGGGAGTTCGAGCTCAGGATGGGCTGCAGGTACCTGACGCATCGAGGCGACGAGGACCGATGGCGCTTCTACGCTGCAGAGATGGGGCTGGACTTCCCCTCCCGCCTCTGCTGTGACCCCAACAAAGAATTGGACATGTGACCTCGAGCACAGAGGTTAAGGGTCGGACACTTTATCAGACTGTGCAGCTACATTTAAAAAAAAAAAAACATTCAGCAGTGAGGCCGCGGATCAAACGGGAGAAAAGTAATAAAGACACAAACACGTGTGGTTTTAATAATATAATTTTCCTTTATTTTCAAGTTGAGGTTTTTAACATATGACTGAAAGAGTGGCATCAGTGATGAGACAGCATGAGTTAGGGATGAGGGGGAGGAGGAGGAAAATGGAGCACAGATGAGTTAAGATATCGAGATCATGCACAGGGAGGAGCCTAACACAGCGATCGTCGTGGCTGACCTCTTCTCTTCAAATGCTACCCTAAACCCTGTGTTGTGAGTACGCCTGCTATGGTTCCACGTACAGTTTTGATTCTTCCCATTTCATCCACAACTTTCCTGATGCCCTGTCTGACACCTCTCTCTGTCTTTGTCCCCCTTCTCCTCGTAATTTTACAATTAGCCCAAAAAAAGGCTAAAAAAAAGGAGTTTAATAAGAGAGGTGTGTGGGAGAGGTCGCTCTCTCTGGCCATAACAACTCATCTTTCCGTATCCGTTCCCGAGTCACCGCCCAGCCACGGCGCTCTCCTCCCATTCCCCCCACCTGTGTCTTTTAATACTCGGCGCTCCCATTCGTCCTCCGTGTGTTCCTGAGTTTCTTAAGGCTTTAAGATCTCCAGGTTAAATCGCATCCTTGCTAACATTCAGGTTTCACAGTGCTGTGGTGAGAGTTTTCAGTAGCACCCGACAGGCCTCGCTCCTCTGCTGACTGCACTCGTGAACGGGCTCCTGCGGGGGTTCGTGTGAGGGCGAGTCGGTGACTCAAAAGGCCGTTTTTTTTTTTCTAAACTTCAACATAGCATGCATCTGCACAAATACACAACCAACCAAGCCAACTGACCAATCACGTTTTCTTCTTTGATCACCCTTCTACAAAAAATTAAAAATAAAAAAAAAAGGAGGAGAGGGGAAGAGCACACGGCTTTGCTCAAAAATAATCTAACTTTCGTTCTCTCTCGTTGCCTCCTTCTCTTTAAAGCCTTGTGAAGGCAGGTATGTCATTATGTATGCTGCTTACATAAGTTCAGTGCAATAACTGGTACACCTGTTTTTTCTTCTTCTTTTCTTTTAAACGAGAGAGGAGCTGAGCAGCCTGAACAGAGTTTGTGAGGTCTGAGCAAAGTCTTCTGCTCTTCCCCTCTGAGCAGTGTTCCTGTGTTTTAAAAAGAGGGATGGGCGGAGTTAGGAAGAGGGGAATAAAGTTAAGATTTGAGAAGGTGGTGGGGAAAAAAAAAACAAAACAACGTGTTTTAAAGGGACAGTGGAAGGGTTTAAAATCGCTCTCTCCAGACAGGAGAAATAAGAGAAGCTGGGAAGAAGGGGTGAGGAGGAGGATGTGAAGAGAAGCAGCTGCGCTTATAAGTCGCTCTCTCCGTAGAGGGCACTGGAGAAGGAGATGTAGTCCAGGGCGCCGGAGGGACAGTCCGGTCCGACGTACCTGGTCATGCGGGTGATGCAGTACTCCGCCTGCTCGGGAGGCAGCTCCCTGCGCAGCTCCTCCACCGTGATGTAATTCTGCGGGAGAGAGAGAGGGGGCGAGGTGTGATTCACGAGGAGCTATTGTCTCCTGTTACAAATGTACTGGTGCATCTGTGAGGATCGGAGAACGATGACTCAAGGTTCAGGCAAACAGTCCTGCAGTTCGAATTTGGAAAGATGAAAACCTGAATTTAAATTACGGACTTGCTGTTGAAATAAAGCAGTACAAGATAAATCGCGATGTTTCTCCCAGATTTAAGGGGAAATTTTGCTCTTCGTTTCGATCGGGACACTCAGAGAATCCGGGTTGCGTATGTAAGCAAAGAAAAAGCTTGGAGTGAGATAAAGAGTGCTTCTGTATAATTTCTTCCTTGCATACCTGAGTGAGTTGCCTCAGTTTGGATTGAGTTATTTGGGGATATAAGCATTTAGGTGCCACAGCATCACCTCCCCTTGCCAGAGATGTTTTCTATGAACGTGAACATTTCAAAAAGTCTCATCAACCTACATACAAAGTGTCAACACATCAGTGCTGATACAATCATACCAATGACCAAAAACCTGATTTGTCAGATTTGTTTTTGTTTAATTTATTGAACTTGTTATAATTAAGCCAAATTATACTATTTATTTAGCCTGTTGGGTTAGAAACCATATTCATTAATAAGAAATATGCTGTCTCATAGTTTTTCTTTCAGCTTTCGAAAGCTGGTTTCTTGTTTATTGCTTAAATTTTCACTTCACAAAGCCGACTCCAGCCTGGGTCACTTACAGCCTATCCAGCAACTTGACTTTCTTATAACAAAACCACAGCGCTCCTGGATCACAGCTAATACGTTACTCTCACTGTAAATAGATACTGTATCAGTGGTGACAAGGTGTTTGATACCAGAGCCTTTATGTTATCCGTTTGTGGTCTGAGTTCCCCAAACTCAGTGATTTCTAAAGTGTGGGCTACGAATGAAAGTATGTACAGTTACATATTTATATGAATGTATTTATTTATATAAAAGGTGAATGCAAACTGGTAACAGGAGGAGTTGACTGTGATGTTACTCATTACTCTGAGTGTCCCAGTGGTAGGTGGGTCATACTTAGGATTTAACTCAGCATATGACTGTGTAGCATTAGAGATTTATAGCCAACAGTCTGTTTTTTTTGTTTTGTTTTTTTTTAAATAAAAATTTCAAGGATAAACGTCACTGTCTCTTGTGTTGATTTCAGATCCATTGAATTTTTTTGTTTTTTGAAGGAGTGCAGTAGCACTCTTCACTTTGGCAATGGCTGCCCTAACCGGTCACATGTTTGGATGCAGGCTAACCATCGGAATTTGAAAGGAAATTATGCATTTCTGAAATGCATTAAACTGTAAATCTGTAAAAGTTTTATTAACATCAGCACTAAAAATGTGTGCCGGGAGCTTCGCTACATGAGTTTCCCTGTCTGTGTCGCTCTTTTTATGTGCCCCAGTACTTTTGTCCATATCAATGTGTCCTCTGGCTGCACTGGAAGCTCTGTACAGGCTAAATAAGAAGACTAGTCAATGAACAGTTAGATGATATCAGATATAAGGTAAGAAGATGCTGTATCCATCTGCTCACCTTGTCTGAAGCCAGGATCTTGAAGGAGGCCATGACTTGTTCTGCAGTGTCGGTCTCGGCGGTCTCACGGGTCATGAAGTCGATGAAGGCCTGGAAGGTCACAACGCCCGTGTTGTTGGGGTCCACCAGGGTCATGATACGTGCAAACTCCACCTCACCCTGTCAGCAAAAGCAACAATCAACAAACGTTACTGCGCAAACCAATCAGTAAATCCTTATAGTTTACATTTTAACTACACTCAAGTTGTTGTACAAGTCAAGCCTATGAGCGCCTGACCACTGACCAGATCGTAACCCATGGAGATGAGACAGGCACGGAAGTCGTCTGGGTCCATCATGCCGTTTCTCTTCTGCAAAGGAACAGCACAAAGTATCGCTTTCATTACTGTGCCAAAGAGTCGTAGTAATTAATGAATTCACTCATTAGTGATGCTAAAACATCAATGAGCATGAACTTAAGCGACGTGTCTAAACTTTTTCAGCCTCTTAAATAGGAAATGCCAGAGGAAAAGTTTGAAAACTATACGAAGCACCGCTCTCTTCTCCTCGACCTACGGTGTCGCCTCACCCTGTCGAAGTGGTTGAAGGAGGCCCTGAACTCGTTGAGCTGCTCCTGGCTGATGCCCTTGGCGTCGCGGGTCAGGATCTGGTTCTCCACCTCGTTGATGGTTCTGGCGATAGTGGTGAGCAGCTGCTCCCAGCCCACACGGATGTGCTGCAGTGGAGAGGGAATGGGAGGAAATTAAAACGGAGGTAGCGCACGCTTTGAGTAGAGAGGAGTGAGAGCTAAGCCCATCTGCAGATCGCGCTGCGGTCTGCATGCACACCTCCATGGTGTAGTTGGTGTGCTTGTTGTCGAAGATGAGGGACTCCTGGATGAGCTGGTGGTCTCCCTCCAGTTTGTCGATGTTGGATTTGTAGTTGATGATGTTCTGCTCGTACTGCTTCAGGCTGTTCATCTGTTCCTCCAGGGAGCCGGCGATGTCCACAGACACGTGGCTGATCTCCTGCAGAGACAGGAATCAATGAGGAAATGCGGCACTCACCATACTTTCACATATTTTACTGCATTATTTTGTAGCAACAGCTGAGCGTTACTGTTCCCACAGATCACGTTGATCCGACCGTGCAGATTTACACCCAGCACTGGCTACCCAAGCACCCCCATCTCGTACCTCCATCTTGGTTTGAATCCAGGGTCCGATGATGTTGGCCTGAGCGGCGAACTGGCGCCTCAGTCTCTCATTGGCCTGCTGCCTGGCCACCTCCTCCTGGAGCATTTGGTCTCTGAGGGGCACGAGGTGCTTCACCTGCACACACAGTTTATATCTGGTGACTGTGTGTAACTCACATTATTACAGTTTACTTAAACATGTTGTCACCTCTTCCATTTCTACGCTTGCATCACTGCATCTTTAAATTAACCGAATGTTGCTGTCACTTTTTCCAAGTCTGTATACATAGTTTTTCACTCCAGATTGTAACTTCATGATTGCCCAGATAGAAAGAAAAAAAATTTGTTTCTTGAGCACAGATGGTCTGATGTGTGTCGCACTACGGCTGCACCGACAGGCTGTCCTGTGGAGTTATTTTGATTTCCCCTGAGAGCCTCACAGCCAGCAGTGCTGAGTGTCACTCTAACCCACATGTACAGTACTATTCCTGACCTGTCGCTATCTTTGCACTGTGCTAATATTAGCTGGATGACCAAATGGAGTGTACACAGAGAGAGAGAGAGAGCCAGGTTGACATTTGCTGCTACATAATGCTAACTTGCTGAAAGCAGATTAAAGAGCAGCCACGCTCCTCATTGTGTCTGCGATATAATAATTAATTTGCTCCTTCTACAAACGCTGTGTTCGTGGGGTCCGTTTGACTTGACTCACAGTGTCCCACTTAGTGCTGATGTCCTGGGAGGAGAGGTTGGTGTACGGGTTGATCCCGGACAGCTTGATGCCGTAGGTCTGGGCGATCTTCAGGATCTCGTTGTGGATGCCCAGAGTGGCCATGCGCTCCTTGTCGGCCTCGGGCAGAGTAGCCTTGAACTGGTCGTGAGCTGTGATCAGACTCTGTGCGGGAGGAAAACAAATATAAGGTGGTGTATTAGAAAAAAGAAAGATGGAGTGTATGTTTTTTTTGTATAACTTCTTCCTTTGGTACAGATTTAAATGTCTGAGAAAAAGAAAAGAGCCTGGTTCTGCTGGAGGTTTCTTCCTGCTAAAAGGGAGTTTTTCATTCCCACTGTTGCCAAGTGCTTGCTCACAGGGAGTCGTCTAATTGTTGGGCTTTCTCTGTATTATTCTAGGGTTTCTATCTTACAATATAAAACAGTGTGAGGGGACTGTTGTTGTGATTTGGTGCTATATAAATAAAACTGAATCAGATGGTTACCTGGATCTCTTCAATGCTGTGGACAATGAACATGTCCTGCAGGTCCTCCATGGCTCCGTCCATCCAGTTGTTGAAGGGTGCCGCACGCTTGGCGAACTCCAGGTACAGCTGGTCAATGGTCTCCCACAGCTTCTCCACACGCTGCCGTCACAGACAGAAACACACTCGTGATGCTGAAGCAGACGTGTGCATACAAACACGGAGGGAATCTGCCATTTGCACTCTCCGTGTTGTTTTTGTCACTCCTCGCTGAGCATCGTGAAAACATTAAGCCGAATTTGCCGATAAAAATCAAGACGTCTTGAATCACATT